ATAAAGACCGATCAATTCAGTCCAATCAAAGACGATATCATATAAAAATAATTATACTGAAGTACGTGTGTGTTATCAAATAGTTGGAAATGTGTTGCACAAATGCACATTACACGATTCAGACAATTTACGTCTTCGTATTGTTTTATCGAAGTTTATAAACGGAAAAGGTAAAAACTGTTGGTAGATAGGGAATGCGAATATTGAGTGTCCACTTGATAGATAGAAGGTGAAGAATGAGACAAAGTTCATAGTGAAGGTGGTAGTAATAATAATAAACGAACTAATTATAATGAAATGGAAACAAGATTGTGAAAGTGTTAAGACCATGGTAAGATAAGAGATTGAACATACTTCTTTTGCACGCAGAGATCAGGTTTGAATTGATGAATTGGTAATGCTTCTGCAATGGTGCACAACTATCGAAGATGTACTCCTTTTGAGCTATCCCATTTGACTCTATAAATAACACTGAAGGAGGACTCTAGTCGAGCTATATGTCCACAGTTGATCAAATGTCCAAGAATTGAACTGTTAATTGATTTACATTCTCCCCTCGACAACCATGCAAGATAGACCTCAGAGATATGTTTGGAAATTGCATGCTTTGTGAGGCCTATATAACTAGCTCCATAGGAGCTAGTAAATTTGTAGACACACATTGAGGTGACACAAAGCACCAACTTGTCCTTAACATATTCCGGAACCAATTGCTAACTAGAGAAGCTGATCTGTAGCCTCATAGAGAAGAATGTCTTCTTCAGCGATTTAGACAGCCGATTAATGAGGATCTTTACCGCCGTGAACACTTGTTCCGGATAGATGGGTATCCCTTTTGCATGAGAATCTTAAGTAGTTTGTCCAATCCATCATCGATAGTATCACTCATGTAGATACTTCTGATTCTTGAAGATAAAGAATAGATCAGATTTCTTTTTCTCTTAAGAAGCACTCAGCTATGGAAATTTAACTATTGTTCATTCCGTGTAGACTTCCTATGGATCGATCTCTGAAAGCAGACAACTGGTCTCCGTTTCAGTAATATGTCGAGAAAATGGAATTCCGAGTTCACTTCAAATTCTAGAGTGAAGTTGATCGATGGGTGACGGTCACTGAACTTTTTAACTACAGTCCCCAGTATTTGTATTTTGATTACATATGATAAATGTATCATCCATATATCTTTCATATAAATAGAAACTACCATATGTTGAATGACGCACACTATTCTCTAGCTTCGCTATAAAGCAGTCAGCCAGCCAGCAGCGGTCCAAGTGGTGACCCCATAGTGACCTCATTCTTTTGTCTATATAAATCATTGTTGAATTTGAACTACACATTGAAAGTACATCTTAGAAGTAATTCCCTTAAATAGTGCTTTCAAATATTCATGTGACAATTATTATCTTCGACGAAACTATATAGAAAACAGATAGTTTCCGTGAGTGGGACATTGGTGAAGAGAGAAACCATATACATTTACTTACCAGATATATTGACATATGTTCAATCTCACATCCTACTATGGTCTTAACACTTTCATAACTTTTCGACTTGATTACAATTGATTAGTCTATGATAATGACCTTCATTATGATTCTTGTCCCATTCTTCGCCTTCTTTACATCTACCTAGCAAGTGGACACTCAATATTCGCATTTCTCATCTACCAACAATTTTCACCTTATCATATGACTATCTGAGATACTCGTAGTTTGGCAGACTAGTATTTATACTGCATGATGACTGATAGTGGGATGAAAATTTGGACAGCGGCCAGATTTCAACTAGTGACCAAAGGGGTTCAGGCTATCTCAGATAGTCAAATGATAATCAATATGACGCTCCCCCTCTCTAATTCAAGTAGATTTCGATTGGGATGACAAGTCCTGACTAAACAGCCAGTATGAATACGATCAAGGGGTAGTAACGTGTCACGAATTCACATGGTAGTCGGGCAAAACCCTTGATGATTGAAGTGAAATAAGAATCTGATCAGCGGTCGGATCTCGTAGCTCAATTGGTAGAGCATCCAGCAGGAAAGCCAGTGGTCGCCGTGAGAGAGTTGAGAAGACAGATACGAAGGAGAGAAAGTTTATTGTCAACAAGTGGGATAGTAGTCGTCAAATATGATACACCTTGCACTAAAACCGTCATTTGCATAATGTGCTTCATTTCCTCTTCTGCTTCTCTCCTCGTTCGCTCTTCACACACCCGCCTTTTCTCTTGCGTTTCTCTTGGCAGAATCCTTACCCATTGCTGGTAATTCCTTATGATTTCTGCCACCCACTCAACATATACTACTTATATCCATTCTTATCAACAATGCCCACTACAATATCATAGAGCAATGTCAGTTAAGAAGTTTATATTTGCTACTATAATTCGAATAACAGTCAACAACTTCATGAGATGATACCACATCTTGGATACGGCTAACTCTTAACCTATCTATGGTTTCATTCATAGATGAATACTGCTCAGAACATTTAGTAAACAATAAATTTTCCTACTTATCAGAAATGGTACTGTTATCATAAAAGTGAGTTAAGTTTGACAACAAATATTGCAACAGTCTAGTATTTTTCGAAGGTTAGTTGAGTTTTTATCTTTCAGTGGCAGTAATAAAAACACATTGCAAATCAACACAGTGCATATTCTATTTACCAGGCTATGAGCCATTTTCTTTCCTTAGGGTTTATGATATTAGTAGACTGCGTAGTTTGAAATAGGATAGAGGTTTGCAACCAGAGATGCAGTCCTTGAAAGTCGACGTTTTAAGCGATTAAGCTGCTACTCCTCATAAATACAAGTTGATTAGTCATAAAGGTGTGGGACAGATGATGATGTTAAAACCAGGTTCGGAAAGACAGCAAGACACGACTTCACTAACCTGGAATCAGTGTGAAGATCTACTCCACTACACTACACTACACTACACTACACTACACTACACTACACCCATCATGAGGCGTGAACAACATCCGGATTTTGAACACAAACTCAGTCAAGTCAGTGCTTTCATGTGATGGTTCACAGACCTGACGCCTTACCAAAAGCATTTACAACAAATTGTACACATACATCACACCAAGAGCTGCTCTCTCTCTCTCTCTCTCTCGATATTGAAGATCGAGATCAGATGGCCAGAATAGAATATTAAGAATAAGCAAGGAGGAACTCTGCTTGGCTGGCAACGAACCAACCAACAACCTATCGTCCAACAAATATGCATAGTGAGAAAGTGGAGATGGATTAGATTGTATTGGGCATAGACTGAGAAGACTATTTGGGGACATCACGAGTCAGGCCAGATCACGCCGTCGAGTGGAACTCAAATGGGAGACGACGAGTTCAGCGTCCGAGGGTGGTGACATGTAGGAGATCGTATGAGTAAGAAATAAAACGTTATGGGGAGTAGTGGAGCTATGTTGAGAAGACTGTAGAGAAGAGAGTGAAATGGCGACGTGCTGTTGAAGATCTATGTTACACCAGGAACCCAACGGACAAATAATAAGAATAATAATCATGCTCAGGATACAAGAGCATTTACCAGTTTGGTTAGGAAAGGGAGAAGTGAAAGTGGTTAAAAGTTCAGTCGTATCGCATCTAATCGACACAGGGTAGGACATAGATGTTAATAAAGTTTTCAATGTCATCCAACGTGTTCCAAAAACGATACGACATGTAGCTCGCCAACACTTGCTCAAGATAACAGAGTCTGTCACAATAAGATTGATCAAACCTGAACTCTACATTGAGAAAGAATGTATGCAAGTGTTACTTTTAACTTAGCCTTCACTAGGGTGAAGTAAGGTTTTGAAATAGTTTATAAGGTGAATAGAGACTAAAAAGGATGAGGACGTTAATAAACAATCAAAAGATTAGGTGATATGAGTGAGACAAGTTAAATGGAATAAATTGGAAATGTTTTGTTAAAAATTGCATTTATAAGAAAAATCAAATGAAGTAACACCGGAAACCATTAAATGTAAAAATAAAAGTGATAATGACGACAAGAGAGTACAAAGATTAATCTGACAAAAAAATTTGGGTGGGGATGGGTTGGTAGAGAAAACGAAAAAGGAACAAAGCACACCAAGACTAAAATAAGTTAAGGTAGAGATAAATACTGTGCATACCTCTTTTGCACACATAGGTCAGACTTCAGTTCATGGATAGCCAAGGCCTCTACTGTTTTTAGAAGTTGAACATGTAGGAAACATGAGATATTTGAGAGAATTCGATAGACAACCTTAAAATCATTGTTTCGATCGGTTGAATGGTTGCAGTCGATTGAATGTTCATGAATAGAAATTCTGATGCATTTCCTTTCATCTTGATAAAACCAGGCTGGAATATGTGTTGACAACAATCTCTGACTACGGCCAATGTACCTTGCTCCACAGGAGCTGGTAAACTGATAGATATACATGGATGTGGCCTGTCTAGTTATTTGGTTATGTGTTAACTCTATCACTTTTCAACCCCTTTTTAATCTATATGCACCTTATAAACAACTTGAAAATCTTACGCAACCTTTTTTGTTGTCGTTCCACCTTTACGTCATCAACTAGCAACATTATAATTATAACCACCACCACCACCATTATTATTATTTAACCTCCCATTACTGAAGTTAAATCTTCCTCACGGATTACAGTCTTTGAATATCACATACACATACGAATGTACAGCTTGAGAATAAATTCGTTGAAAATAGTCCTCTTCTCTCAGTATCTTGTCTTTCTTCTTACTTACCAATGATTATATTCGAGAGGAGAATAAGAGGCTGTAGGATTTATCCTGATCTATCTACACGAATGCCACATAGTAACTACTAGTATTTCACTCTAAAATCTAAATCGTACTAACATTTTATATTAATGATGGATAGTGATTAACACTGGAATCCAGCACACACATTTTGTCCTATTTCGGACTCGTCACCTGGATATACTTGCCTCTCAGTAACTGATGTTATTCCCACTGGGACTCGAACCCGAGACTGGTCACCATAAATGTCTAGGCGTTATCCACTAGACCATCGAGTCATGACAGCCACTTCTTGTGAAACGGGTTTAATATTTTTATGTTGTTACTTGTATTATCCTAAAGTTGTTTAGTTTTCTTAAAAGTGATAGATACTACATTATGACTTATAAAATGCCCCTTTAAGAATAAAAGTAGTAATAATAGTAATCATACTAATAATTGACTAATAACTTACTTTCTCTAGTTTCATCACAAAAGTGTAATTCTGTACGACTAACAATTAAATGATAAGATGTCTCTAAAACATCATACTGATGAAACATATTTACAGCATTTACATAATTCTCTGTATATTTACTAGTTGAATTTTGTACTGCCTGTTGAATATTACTACTGGTGTTAGTATTGACAGTATTATTGACAAATGGTTGTGTTTCTAATGAAGTCATAGTGACAGTTTGTCGCTAAATGAAGAGAGAAAAAAACCCAGAAAACACAAGAAAATGATGAGTTGATATTCATAAGGAACAAATAACGTCGATATGATGATGATAACTTGGTTACCTGACAAAAAGGAATAGGTCTGGGCGTACTAGGTAACTAGGATATACATATATCACACAAAAACGAATATTACACTGTCAGATAGATGAAATCTTAGACAAGTAGAAGTAATTCGAGTTTATGAGCCCCTCTGATTGATATATATGTATAGTTGTTAAAACTACATAGCCATGGATCTACTCAGTACTAGAACTGATCTCAGCTTGTAAAAGTAGATACAAATGGCTTTTAGATGATGGGGAGTGAATTGGAAGGGAGACCTGATTTACCTATGTTTCGTGTTGGTTAGCAACCATGAAGAAATTGATATTCCTTCAGTGAGTTGAACCTGTATCATTGAGTGCTCAATTAAGTCAGATACTTTGTCACTAAGCTACTTAAACTATAACCAACCGATCCCTTAATACAACTGGATTGTGTGTCTTGCCAAATGACTTCATCAAATAACATCAAAATACAATGGGAATGTGCACTGTCCCATCACTTCACTCTGTAACCATATTGTAAAACTTGATTGATAGACTTCGATCAGTGATGAACACACCTGAGTCATTTACTGACCGGTGAACAACTTCCATATACATACAGATTCAATTCCGAGTCAATATCGCTTCAGATTTTATCTACCTATTTGTACATAGATAATTCCTGAAGCAAACCGATTGTAAACACTACTGTAGTGGGCGTTGCTGATAAGACTGCATATAAGTAGTATATGTTGAGAGGGTGGCAGAAATCATAGGCAATTACCAGCAATGAGTAAACATTCTGCCCAGAGAAACGTAAGAGACGAAGTTGGCGTAATTAGAGCAAATCAAGGTAGAAGCAGAAGAGGAAATGAAGCACATTATGCAAATGACTATCTTAGTGGAAGGTGTATCATATTTGATGACTACTGCACAAGATGTCAATAATAAACATTTCTTCCTGAGTCTCAGTCTTCTCGTTTCCTAAACTATAAAGCCTATTATGATTGTTCAAATCTTTCACAGGAGTTCAAGATGCCCAAAATCCTTCACAACAATCCGACAAAATATTCCAAATCTTCAAGAAAAGACAATGCGTTCATACATGTAACCTTCAGATCGACTAATACAGCCAAATCGATAAAAAATATCACGGTCGTTGAGAATATGCGTGTGGTCTCTCGTTACACTTTGAATACCTGAGATTGTCGTGGTTTGGCAGACTAGTATTTATCCACGGCCGGATTCGAACCAGCGACCACCGGGTTTCGAAACCAACAGCGGTCTAAATATTTATTTCACCTTTAATCATCACCCGGTATAAATACCAGTCTGCCAAACCAAGTCTATCTCAGATAGTTAAATGATAATCAATATGATGCCTCCCCTCTCTACTTCACTTAGATTTCGATTGTGATGAGAAGTCCTGATTAGGTAACCAGTATGAGTACGATCTGGGGATAGTGACGCATCACGAATTCGCATGGTAGACAAGCAACACTCTGAGTGATTAAAGTGAAATAAAAATTTAGTCAGCAGTCGGATCTTGTAGCTAAGTTGGTAGAGCATCGAACCTGAAATCTGATGTTCGCTGGTTCGAATCCGGCCAACATGCGAATTCTCATTTCAAATTCAACCATCACCTAGTATAAATAAGCTTTTTATTCTTTATTTATATCAGCAAGAGCAAAAAGATGAGCCTCCATACGACTCTAAAAACATACGAAATACAGCTGACGTTAGAAAACTACAAATTCCTCCACAATCCAACTATAAATCATGTTCTTTTTTAATGATAGATAAAATAACGATTTACTTGTTCGTTTTTTCCCGAGTTGACTGATATTAAAAAAAAATAATAGGACAACAAAAATCTGGGCCATGACAATTCAACTTATCATGGTTTTCTTAACTAACTTCTAACCGTATATGTTACTTCAAACTCAGTAACGTACAGTCCCATCTGACCACAAGCCTCACATAAACATACATTTTTTCTTCATATACCATGAGGCTATAAAAAACAGGCAAGCTGATAATTTCCATTCAGTACATCGTTGCCTACGGCTAATTAGACTATTATTGCTACACCTTAGCTGAAATTCTAAACATCATTAGCGAGGGAATTTCTCCATGGTTATATGTTAGGCTATGTATACATATATACGCATGTTATGATCGCCATGCTCACATAGGCATAGATGTATTACAATAAAATACCAGACTGGAGTCCAGTAAGACTGAAAATGACTCACAATCAAGTTGCCAGACCATTACATCAAGCAGGGATAGGACTCAGTGAGTAGCAATATGGTAATTGCTTCAGCATCTGTCTCTCTGAAACAAAACATTATTTAACTTACAAACGGTTAAGAACGTCACAGAAATGAACAACGTGTCGACCCCATTACGTCGGAATCCGGAGCATAGTTTACGGTCATTGTTGTAGCTTTGCACCAAACCTAGTTAAACTTGGCCGAAAATGTGGTCAAGTAAAGGAGGTTGTCTCTTTCAACTACCACCTAGGCAGCATCGTTTCAACTACAGGCTGCGACAGCGGCACAGATGAGGATTTCAAAACCAGGATTGGAAAGACAGCAAGGCAGATCTTCGTTAACCTGGAATCAGTGTGGAGATCTACTGGAATGGACTGCGCTCCACTCCACTTCATTCAGTATAAAGAACAAGATCCAGATTTCTAACACTAATATCAGTCAACTCAGTGCTTCTATGTGATGGTCCAGAGACCTGGTGCGTTACGGAAAGCATTTCCAACAAACTGCATACATGCATCACATCAACAGCTGCTGCCTAAGATCACTCCATTCTGAAGATGGAGATCAGATAGCCAGAATAATAATAATAAGCAAGGAGGAACTCTGGCTGGCTGGCTGGCAACGAACCAACCAGAAGAAGTGGAGATGGATTAGACATAGACTATGAACACCGTTTGGGGACATCACGCACCAGGCCAAACCGGGCCCTTGAGTGGAACCTAAAAAGGAAACGATGAGTTGGGTGTCCGAGGGTGATGACATGGAGGAGATGGTGTGCGGAAGAAATGAGAGCTTGTGGTCAGTTGTGGAGCCAGGTGGAGTCAGATTGCAGGGAACAGAGTGTAATGGTGGTGTGTTACTGAATCCCTATGTTCCATTAGGAACCTAAGGGACTAATAAATAATAATAATAATAATATAAAGAAGCCAAAAAGGATATGCAAGGATGTTCAGCAACGTATCGGTAACAGAATGTACCGTTTTAATTTTTAAGGGAATTTAGAATTACAGGCGTCTAAAAGAAACGACCACAGGGTTCTGATCACAGATATCTTCGTAAAATTGGGCGTGTTTAGTGGCAGCACCATGTAAGTAAAGTTGAGGTCAGGCAAGACAGATAGTCAGAATGATGAGGTTGTGAACCTCAGTCAACCGAGATGACTTGGATATGCACTGCACATGCCGACTCACCACCTATCTCGAAGAGTAATGCTAGGGAAGGTTGAATTAGGTTGAAAGAGGGTTTAGAGTGGCCAGACCAAGACATAGGAATAGTCGATGATGTCTTTGCTGCTGTGTGGGTAGATCGAGACTACTTGGTTAGTGTCCTGTAGACGAAAGAAAATAATGATTGAGGACCTCAACATCGTCATAGCTTATCAAGTCTATGGAGTGTGAACAACACGGTAAAAAACGTAAATAATGACCTTGAATAAAGCATCTCTAATCTCATTGGTTATCCTCAAGGTTTCTAGTTACTGAAGTTTAGCTTTACCGAAAAATTTTTCGCTCAATCGTCAATTGTTAATTCACTACAAAATATTTAACAGGATTCTGTTCTTCTTCGTTCTGTTCAGTAGTGACCAAGTTTAATTTCTTTTAAGAAAAAGGTCACGATTTCTGGATTAATAAGTGAAGAGAATTTTACAAAATCGGGAGTAAATTATTGGTAACTTATTTTAACATTCATATTTGCACGTTAAGGATATTTCCATTGGACTGACATTCTAATTTATACATCTCAAGGTCATTGTATGAGTTAAGTCGACTAAGCACCCACTTAAAAATACAAACTAAACCAATTGTACAGAAGTTAATTATATTAAAATGCCTGCCTAGACCACAGTAGATTGACAGGAGTTCGAACTTTGGATCTACTAGCCAGAAGTAAAAAGCCTAGATCAATGAGGTGTATCCATAATCATACACTGTTATAATTTGATCTCATGATCGGTGCACCACGATGAACTGCTCCCGTAAACCACTAAACTTCAGTGACAGTGAACTGATCAAGCGAACGACTGATCAATGATTAGATTTATGCTCAATTAATGTATTACCCGATATATTAGGCGAAAATTTGTCACCAGGCCTATCTGAGTATGATAATGTATATATACATCAGTATCAGGAGTTCGAACACAAAACGTTAAGTTGATATGCTAACAAAAGAGAATTCGTTTTTGTGATGAAACTATTTATTTATAGGACAACTGAGAAACAGAAAGTTCTATGAAGCATCTATTCTAATTTCCAAGACTTTAAAAGCGAACATTTTCCAACCTTTTAGAAAACGAATCGAAGAGTTTTATGGAACTTCTGAAAATAAGCATTGAAAAGACTCAATGGTTGATATTTCTCAGTTGAAAATACTAAACGATGTAACACTACAATGATGAATACAGCTCTGTTGCATAATCTTTCCCTTCTGTTTGTCAACTGCTGAGAGTAATTTCATTCAGAGGTTGATGGATAGTCACGCTATATAGTGAATTAACTAATAGAAGTAGGAAATATAGAGCATTGGGTTCCGACTCAATAGTTTCGTGGTAACATGTTCGTCACGGAACCCAAAGGCCCAGGGTTCGATACCCGACATGATCATGGGTGAACACTGCTGAAGAGTCCCATACTAGGACGAAACGGTTGTCCAC